TGAGGGAGGGAGGGGCATTGTGATGTACAAGCCTGCTCTGTGAGGTCAAGGGTCTCTTAGGGGTGGCGGCTAGGGCAGGGACTAAAGAGCAGCTGGATGGGTTGACAGTAGAACTCATGGGGTTTCTGGCACCCACCCCACCTGCTTCCCAGTGGGGGTGGGGGGGTTGGCCTGGAGTCTTAAGAGTGGGGCAGGGTGGAGAGGCGGGCTCCTGCTTCCCACTCATCCTGTAGCTTTCTTTCCCCAGATCCGAATTCGAGATCCAAACCAAGGAGGGAAGGATATCACGGAGGAGATCATGTCTGGGGCCCGTACCGCCTCTACACCCACCCCTCCCCAGGTAATGTTTGCATTTTTACGTGATGTCCTTCCTGGCTGGGATGACTGATCTGCCCTGGACTCCCAAGTCCCTTGTTCTTTCCTTTCAATAAGGGATTTATTTCTCTGCTTCCCTGGATTTCTAGGCAGTGCTTAAGTATAGAAACGGCTTTAAGTAAAGAAGGGTTGTGGGACTCTTCAGGGCAAACTTGGTAATCCTTTGTGTCCTGCAGACGGGAGGTGGTCTGGAGCCTCAAGCTAATGGGGAGACACCCCAGGTTGCTGTCGTTGTCCGGCCAGGTAAGTAGGCAGGTGGGGCAGTGCTTTAATGGGGAACAGGAATGTGACACTTTAAAATGCTGAGGCAGTGGCTTGAACTGGGTGCCAGAGAAAAATGACTTAGGTTTCCGATAATGGTATTTTGAGGGTGGATTGGATTTTGGGGTGAGAAGGGGGAAAGCTTAGGTTAGGAAAGATTATGTTTGGGGGTGCTAAGATGGGAATATATCTACCATGGTTGAGAGGAGGAAGAGCAGCAGCAGTGAAGACTTGCCTTTAATTACTCATTCTTCCTGTGTTGCAGATGACCGATCGCAGGGAGCAATCATTGGGGGCCGTCCAGGGCTGCCTGACCCAGAGCATAGCCCTTCAGAATCCCAGCCTTCATCGCCTTCTCCAACCCCATCACCACCCCCAATCTTGGAACCGGGATCTGAGCCGAATCTCACAATCCTCTCTGGGGACACTATGACAACGGGAATGATACCTGTAGAAGAATCAGCCCCCATGCCCCGTGAAACTGGGGAGCCATACTGTCTCTCTCCAGAACCCACTCCCCTCGCTGAACCCATACTGGAAGTAGAAGTGACACTTACCAAACCAATGCCAGATTCTGAGTTCTCTTCTAGTTCTCTCCAGGTTCCCACTCCTCTGGCACCTCAGAAGGTGGAAATTCTTCCTGAGCCTAATGGCACAGTCCCATCTGAGGATCTGGAACCAGAGGTGGAGTCGAGCCCAGAACTTGCCCCTCTCCCTCCCCCAGCTTGTCTCTCTGAATCCCCGGTGCCCATTGCTCCAACTGCCCAACCCGAGGAACTGCTCAACGGAGCCCCCTCGCCACCAGCTGTGGACTTAAGCCCAGTCAGTGAGCCAAAGGAGCAGGCCAAGGAAGATACGGCATCAGTGGCTCCTGCCACTGTCCTCTCTGCCACTCCAACTGTGGCTCCTCCAGCTACTTCCCCTACTCCAGAGGAGGAAATAGAGGAAGAGGAAGAAGGAGGAGGAGACTCAGGAGAGACTGAGGGTGAGAAGGAAGGAGAGGAACTGCTCTCCCCAGAGAGCACCCCTGTCCCAGCCCACCAGTCCCAAAATTTGGAGGCCGCAGCAGCCACCCAAGGTAAGGCAAGGCTGGATGGTGGAGGTGGGGCAGACTGGAGGGTATGGTTCGCTCTCCATGGATCTCCCATTTATGCCATTGGGTCTAGGTCAGAGAAGCCCCGTGATAGAAGCTGTGCACTAGGTTGAGGAATTTTTAAGTCGAGAGAGAGTGATACGAAGAGAATGTACTGCAGAGGCTGCTGCTTGTATTTTCCTAGGGGTAGGGGTACTCCTTAACTTATTCCCACTCCTTTTATTTCCCCGCTAAATAGTGGCAGTATCTGTGCCAAAGAGGAGACGGAAAATTAAGGAGCTCAACAAGAAGGAGACTGTTGGAGATCTTCTAGATGCCTTCAAGGAGGTAAGGGAGCAGATAGTAATGAGAGAGAGGGCAGACTTTGCGTATGAAGCAGTGGTCATATTGCAACCAAAACGGAACATCCTCTGGTTCCAGGTGACCCCCGGAATACCAGAGGTGGAAAATCAGCCGCCTCCTGTAGGCCCAGAGCCTGAAGGCAGCAGTGTGCTTCCAAGGCCTGAGGAGGCAGATGAGACCTGGGACTCAAAGGAAGACAAAATTCACAATGCCGAGAACATCCAGCCCGGGGAACAGAAGTATGAATATAAGTCAGGTATGCTGAAGGGACACTCAAAAAGAGTATATTATTGTCAGGATGCCAGAAGACAGCAGTATGAGTAGTTCACCCTGTCTTCCTTACAGATCAGTGGAAACCTCTAAACCTTGAGGAGAAAAAGCGCTATGACCGTGAATTCCTGCTTGGCTTTCAGTTCATTTTTGCCAGTATGCAGAAGCCAGAGGGATTGCCCCACATCACTGATGTGGTGTTGGATAAGGTTGGTAGGCTATAGTGGGAGGAGGGCACCTGGCTGGGGAGGAGTCTGAGGATAGTGATCAGTAGGCCTGTTTCTGATGCCTTCCTTATCCTCTTTGCAGGCCAATAAAACACCACTGCGACCACTGGATCCTACTAGGCTTTCAGGCATAAATTGTGGCCCAGACTTCACTCCATCCTTTGCCAACCTTGGCCGACCAGCCCTTGGCAGCCGTGGGCCCCCAAGGGGTGGGCCAGGTGGGGAGCTGCCCCGAGGGCCGGTGAGTGGGCAGATGGATAAGGGGGCATGATGGTGATGCCTTGGTCTCTCGTTGGGGGAGGGGAGAAGTCTGCCCTGGAGATGTGCGGTAGTGGTATGACAAGTTGTGCTCACTAGTCCTGTGTCCTCTTTGTCCTCACCGCTTGCTTAGCAGGCTGGTTTGGGAACCCGACGCTCTCAGCCCGGCCTCCGAAAGGAACCACGCAAGATCATTGCCACAGTGTTAATGACTGAAGATATAAAACTGAACAAAGCAGAGAAGGCCTGGAAACCCAGCAGCAAGCGGACGGCAGCTGATAAGGACAGAGGGGAAGAGGATGCTGATGGCAGCAAAACCCAGGTATTGGCAAGTTCTGCTTTTGGTCTCCATCCTTTTCTCCAAGGCCAACTTTGTGTTCTTTGCTTCTGCCCACCCTTATTGGCATCTACTTAAGTCCCCATTGCCTGCCCTCTTCTGTTCCTGTTCCTCCCACTGGCCTCTTCTGAGAACTTTATTGGATCCTGTCTTCTCTGTCCCCGCTTCCCTCTAGGACCTGTTCCGCAGGGTGCGCTCCATCCTGAATAAGCTGACACCCCAGATGTTCCAGCAGCTGATGAAGCAGGTGACACAGCTGGCCATTGACACTGAGGAACGCCTCAAAGGGGTCATTGACCTCATCTTCGAGAAGGCCATTTCAGAGCCCAATTTCTCTGTGGCCTATGCCAACATGTGCCGTTGCCTCATGGCGGTTAGTTTGCACTGTTTTTTAAAAGTTGGGGGTCTAGCTTCTCACTATTCCTGAGACTCCTTAAGTCCAGCGTCTTGGTTCTCCTCCAGCCTGGTCTGTTGATGGTAGCTGGAGGGGGGAGGCAGAGCTGGGGTGGGTGTTATTCCTGGGTCAGATAGTTAAAGTTGCATGGAGGGTCTGCCCTGCCCTGAACTGGTCTGAGTATGATATTTTTCTCTGACGCACAGCTGAAGGTGCCCACTACAGAAAAGCCAACAGTGACTGTGAACTTCCGAAAACTGTTGTTGAATCGATGTCAGAAGGAGTTTGAAAAAGACAAAGATGATGATGAGGTTTTTGAGAAGAAGCAAAAAGAGATGGATGAAGCTGCCACGGTGAGAGAAAACCCACCAAACCCACTGCCCACTCAGATGCTGCTCAGCTGTAGAATTTGGGATCATAGAGGGTTGGAATAGACTTAGGGGTGTTCGGCCATTTCCTCTGCCTTAGGACAGGTATGTGTACTGCTAAGCGTAGAAGCCCAGAGAGCAGAGGAAGGAATTCAGCTGAATGCTGGGCATCTCTTTGACGTGATCTCTGTTCTGTGGCGGCAGGCAGAGGAGCGGGGGCGCCTGAAGGAGGAGCTCGAGGAGGCTCGGGACATAGCCCGGCGGCGCTCTTTGGGGAACATCAAGTTTATCGGGGAGCTGTTCAAGCTGAAGATGTTGACCGAGGCCATAATGCACGACTGCGTGGTTAAGCTACTTAAGAACCATGATGAAGAGTCCCTTGAATGCCTTTGCCGTCTGCTCACCACCATTGGCAAAGACCTGGACTTCGAGAAAGCCAAGGTAGGGCCCTGGGCTGGGGGCGGGAGCTGGCTGAGGTGTGTGGAGTTGCTGTTTGCCTACAAACAACTTGCCGGACTGTGGGGTGTTGTGCCTGGACCATTGAGCCACAATGTGGAGCTGGGGGCCTGAGGAGGGGCAGAGACATACAGCTGGAGGTAAAGTATTGGAAATTACTGATTTGAAGCCTTTGCTTCTTTGTAGCCCCGAATGGATCAATATTTCCAGCAGATGGAGAAAATCATTAAGGAAAAGAAGACTTCATCCCGAATTCGCTTTATGCTGCAAGATGTGCTAGATCTGCGACGGGTATGTGTTGCCTTCTTCCTGCTTCTAGTCTGCTGTCTCTGATCCCCAACCCCCTGCTTCCTGACACTGCCTGTCTGGCCGACACAAGTGCCTTACGACTGGCCTCCTGTCCTCACAGAGTAATTGGGTTCCACGCCGAGGTGACCAGGGTCCCAAGACCATTGACCAGATCCACAAGGAGGCTGAGATGGAAGAGCATCGAGAACACATTAAAGTGCAGCAACTCATGGCCAAGGGCAGCGACAAGCGTCGGGGTGGCCTTCCAGGCCCACCCATCAGTGAGTTTGAGGCTGAGATTAAGAAGGGGCCGGTGTGAGGGATTGTGCTTTTCCACTGATGACCTCTTTGTTAGTGCCACGTGTCTGGGCCACTGAGACCTGGTGATGGAACTGAGGATCTGAGGAAGGAAGACTCGGGGCTGCCCAGAGGGATAGGGCTGTGGAAACTTACTCACAATTCCAATGTGTTCTCCTTTTGTCCCAGACCGTGGCCTTCCACTTGTGGATGATGGTGGTTGGAACACAGTTCCCATCAGCAAGGGCAGCCGTCCTATTGACACCTCACGACTCACCAAGATCACAAAGGTAAGGGTATGTGTATTGGTGGGGGTGATGGTAGTGATGGGAAGGTGAAGGGGGCTCAAACAGCATAGATTTGAGTCATAGTTCCCTCACTTGTTGGGGTTGACAGCTGAATTTTCTGGTAGACTAACTGGTTAGATTGCTAGACATGGGACTTCTAACTCTGGGGGGAAGGGAGGGGGTATATTCAGATTGGTTTGGGCCAGTGGTCAGCAAACTTACATGCTCACCAGATCGGACCCATTTTCACGAGCTAAGAATGTTTATTAACGTTTTTAATAATTGATGAAAATCAAAGAGTGAATGATATGAAGTTAAACTTTAGTGTCCATGATATTTAACTGCAGCCATTCTCTTTAAGTGTACTGTCTGACTGCTTTTGTGTTACAGTGACTGAGCTGAGTAGTTGAAATAGAAATGGTGGCCTGCAAGCTTAAGATACTGTCTGATCCTTTACAGGAAAAGTTTGCTCAGTCTCTGGTCTGGGTCATTTGTTACTGTGTAGCTGTGTGTGATGGTGCTGACTGGGGGCTTTGGCCAATAAGACCCCTCCCTGCCTCTTCCTTTCCTCCCTCAGCCTGGATCCATTGATTCAAACAACCAGCTCTTTGCACCTGGAGGGCGAATGAGCTGGGGCAAGGGCAGCAGTGGAGGCTCAGCAGCCAAGCCCTCAGACGCAGGTATGGAGGTCTCTGTAAACAGTGGATGGTTATTAATCAGTGCTCTTGAGGGCAGAGCCTTTCTTGTCTACGTGTAAGTTTTCAGTAAAGAGTGGTTAGGTATATGAGAGGTGTGGGTTAGATGTGTCAGCTTATAGGACATGTGTACTTCATTCAGATTAGGGAATTAACTAGGTTAATGCTGGAACTAGGAGCAAGTGTCCTGAACTGGCAAGTAGATGATAGGATATAAGAAAGTAAGAAGAATAATTTGCTTTTTATTTTGTCAGCATCTGAAGCTGCTCGCCCAGCTACTAGTACCGTGAATCGCTTCTCAGCCCTCCAGCAAACAGTACCTACAGAAAGCACAGATAACAGACGTGTGGTACAGAGGTGAGTTTTCCTGGGTGTCTTTGTTCTTTATCCTGAGGGTACTGTGATTGAGTTTCCACTGTTGGACTCCTCATACCTGTAATGCCCAGGGCCCTTGACTGAGATTGGGGCATATTCCTGATGCCAGAAACCAGACCTGACAGTTGGTCAGTGTGTTGGATAGTTCCACCAGAGCAACCTGGGGCACCATAGGTGAGTGACAGTATACCTGTCTCTTGCAGGAGTAGCTTGAGCCGGGAACGAGGTGAAAAGGCTGGGGACCGGGGAGACCGCCTAGACCGGAGTGAAAGGGGAGGTGACCGTGGGGACCGACTTGATCGTGCACGGACACCTGCCACCAAGCGGAGCTTTAGCAAGGAAGTAGAAGAGCGGAGTAGAGAGCGGCCCTCCCAGCCTGAGGGGCTGCGGAAGGCAGCAAGCCTCACGGAGGATCGGGACCGTGGGCGGGATGCTGGTGAGGGACAGGGAAAGGAAGGGTGTGGGGTGGTTTGGGGCTCACCAGATTCTAGACAGTCTTAAGAGCTCCAGATCGTGTTTGCTGGGAAGACGTGGGCTGAAGAGACTTCTATTTTTTTCTCCCCTCAGTGAAACGAGAAGCTACCTTGCCCCCAGTGAGCCCCACAAAGGCCACACTGTCTGAGGAGGAAATGGAGAAGAAATCCAAGGCTATCATTGAGGAATATCTCCATCTCAATGACATGAAAGTAAGTAGGGGTTGAGGGGCTTGCCTGAGTGATGGCAGAGTGGGCAGGGAGATACCCATGCTGATAGGTTGGTTGGGTCTGTGCAGGTGACAGCTCTCCCTCTTTTACTGTGCGCCCCCTGCAGGAGGCAGTGCAGTGTGTGCAGGAGTTGGCCTCACCCTCCTTGCTCTTCATCTTTGTGCGGCATGGTATCGGTTCCACCCTGGAGCGCACCGCCACTGCTCGTGAGCACATGGGACGACTGCTGCACCAATTGCTCTGTGCTGGGCACCTCTCTCTTGCCCAGTACTACCGAGGGTATGACTGGGCTTCTGTGAACCTTCCCCTTTCATGTACCCACAAATTTCTTTTGTGGTATCCACGGAGTATATAGGCTTCTCAGCCGTGCTGGTCACTAACTTTTGGCAAAAATGGGGATGAACCATCTAAGGACAAGAAGTTGGCCTTATATTGGGATTAATTGCCCCATGTTTAAGAAATGTTCTTAAGAAGGAACCACAGCTGATCCTTTAGCTGTGCTATTTTGCCCCAGAAGGAGTGGAGGGCCTGGCTGGTTTTTCCCAGTATGTCCTGACTTTGAGTTCTCTTTGCAAGGCTGTATGATATCCTGGAAATCGTTGAAGAAATGGAAATTGACATACCCCACGTGTGGCTCTACCTAGCAGAACTAATAACACCCATTCTGCAGGAGGGTGGGGTGCCCATGGGGGAACTGTTCAGGTAAGACTCCTTTGGTGAAAATCGGGGGAGGTAAAGACAGGGTGAAGGCAGGGAGGAAGAGAAAGAGGTATGTATGGCTGGTTAGATGCTTGGATTTGGGAGGGGATGGAGTGGTGTTCTGAGGGGCTGTAGAGGCTATCAACTGAATTTCTTCTCCCCTATTCTTTTAGAGAGATTACAAAACCTTTGAAACCCCTGGGCAAAGCTGCTTCCCTGTTGCTAGAGATCTTGGGACTCCTATGCAAAAGCTTGGTGAGTGAGCGTTTCAGGGGTAATGTGTTCAGGACTGCTCTTCATACCATGTGGTTGTGGCTGCTTGTGGTGAACTCTGAAACCTTATGGTCTCTGGAGGCATGGGGTGATGGTATTACTTTGCTGGTATGGGGGAGAGGAAATGTTGAGGCTGTCCTGGCAGTATCCCTCAGACCATGAAGAGAACTCTAGGAAAATGGGAATCTTAAGATTCTAGACCTGTACTTGATTGATTGATCCACTCACTTTTTAAAAAAATATATAACTTTCTGGTTATTTATTTATTTGTATGTGTGTAGAAGAATTGGGGTGTAGGCCAGAGGTACAGGGGATGAGATGATTCATCAGGGACAGAGTAGGGAGCAGAACAGGCAGATATACTGAAATATACTGCTAAGGGGAGCATTGCATAAGATAGGAGACGTCTGCTGCGCCATATGTGGGATCGAATTCAGGCCATAGTGGTGATAGCACTGAGACTTAGCCCCTAGGCCACCAGGAAGGCCCTGATCCATTCATTCTTTCACCTATCAGTGTTTAAACATCCCATGCTAGCTACTGGGAATATAGTGGTAAATGAAACAGTTAGGAAGCAAGTAGAAAGAGGAAAAAAGTGAGATAACAGCAAAATAAAAACAAAAATCGAAAGTATGAAAGTAGATGAAATGTAGTCCCATAAGTATCTTGAGGTTGCAAATATGTCTAATGGTAATGTTTATGACAGAAAGCTTTCCTGGAAGGACACTATACCTGTTTTCGTAAAAATGGAACGTTCCAGGAAGGGCACTAAAGCTCTTTTTGTAAAAGTTGAGCTGGTGATTAGCCAGGTGTAAAGGTGAAAAGATGAGGAAAGCAAACTGGGCATGGTACTCAGTGGTAGTGAGAGGTTGGTAGGTACAATTTCAAAAGAGGTCAGCTCTTTAGAACCTAGAGGATGACACTTCAAAATAAAAGGAATTGTTCTTCCAGTGTCAGGTTAAATTTTTTCAGCAGAAATGTGTGCTGGGATAATTTGTTTAAAAACAAAACATTGGGCCTCCCCGCGTGGCACAAGGGGTTAAGTGTCAGTACTGTGAAGCCATCTGAAATTACTGCAACACAAGTTCGAGCCCCAGCCAGAGTGCTAACCCACAAGGCATAGTAGACCTCTCCTGTCTCTCCTGTTGCTCCCCTCAGCAACTCAGTCTCTTCAACTTATAGATGCCAGGGTATTTCAGTCAGTCCACCTATTTTTTTTTTTTTTTTAAAGATTTATTTATTTATTTATACAAGCACTGGGTACAGTCAGAAGCGCGGGAGGGTGAGAGAATTCACCAGAGCCAGAGCGGAGAGCAGAGCAGGCAGAAGGACCGAGGTACACTGCTGAGGGGAGCAGCAGGCGGCAGGAGAGGTCTGCGCGCCATGTGGGACCCTCCTCTGGTGGCCGGGGGGAGCAGCTGGGGATCGAACTGGTGCTGCAGAGGCTGTGGGCAGCCTTGCAACCCAGCGCTCAACCACTGCGCCACCTGGGAGGCCCCAGTCCACCTATTTCTGTTTCTGGCTTTGTCTCTGGTGAATCCTCTCTCTCACACACACACCCTCCACTGCACGTCTGGCCTGTACCCCAGTTCTTGTATGCATAAATAAATAAATTTTTTTTTTTTTAAGCAAAACAAAAAACATTGAACTATGTTTGTGTTCCATCACATTTTAGATGCCGTAGCTTAGAGGATATTTTATATACTTCTAAGGAAGGAGAAATTTATGGCAATCTTTTTGAGACACAACATCAACTGTGAGACGACACCTCAGTTTGAGTGTGTTAAAATGTGACCAAATAGGCATCTTTAAAATTGGCAAACTGATTTAAAAATTTGCAAACCATTATTATAATAATAGTTGTAGTGGATTGTCATTGTGAATATCTGTTATAAAGAGTGATGTCTTCAGTGTCTCTTAAAGAAAGTGGACTCAGTTTGCTCTTTATGTGTGGATTTCTGGTTTGTGTTTAGGGTGGCGTGGGCAGTGTTTATCTTTCTGAAATTTTCTGGACTGGAGAGCCAGTTATGTATACTAGTTAGGATTTGTGCTCTCCCATAGCATTTGATATTGTTCCT